CAGAATCCAGCTGTGATGCATGCAAATGACAATCATGTGATAACAAGACATTATGAGAGTCATAAAATACCAATAGTATATAGTATTTATAAGTATGAATAGTATTTTAGTAAAAATATCATGAATATCATGTGACCATAGGGACACACTGACAGTTATAAGTGCAAGGACTGGCTATAAGGTTCCTTTCTCAATGCCGTAACTTTGAATAGTCACTAAACAGGGCAGTTATTTAGCAAGGAATATCTGTATATACTTGCTTTATATAATTGCCATGCTTTATATAGTCTTTTGCAAAAGTTATTCATTTAAATATATTTTGTACATCATGCACGGCATATTTCATTTAATAAATGAATCATATAAAACAGTGGTTCCCAAAGTGGGCGGTAACGCCCCCTGGGGGGTAGTGGGATGACTTAGGGGGCCGCTAAGAGGCAAGGAGGGGTAGGGGGCGCTAAGAGGCAAGGGGCAGCAGGGGGGCGCTAAGAGGCAAGGGAGGTGGCAGAGGAGTGCTGGAGGTGGCCCTCTCGCAGGGCGCAATTCTGCCTGGGGCTCTGTTGGCTGCCAGTCAGCTGAGCACTTCCGGCAGGGGTGAAATTCAGTCTAACGTCCCAAAGACTGGAAGGATTTTTCGCTCGCTCACTTGCTCATTCAGGAGGCATACAAGCATGTCAGGCTGTGGGGAGGCAAAGTGGGGGAAGAGAAAGAAGAGTATAGCCTTTTGCCTGCATTTCTCCTCTGATACGACTCTGCGTGTGCTGTGAATGGAGAAGAGATGCGGGACTGAACGGGGCTGTCCTTGGCCCTGCATTTCAGGGATTGGGAATTGGCGCTGCATTACGTAGCGAGTCCGATGTCACTACACAAGAGCACTTGCCTGCCTGCCTGCCTCTCACGCTTTTATAAATAGCTTTACTTCTGACTCCCTTTCCGGGGCTGTGCTGCAAGCCGGATTGCACTGTGGCGCGCCTGTGCAACAGAGCCACCCCCCCAATTCCTCTTGCACCCGCTCCACACGGATGCACCACTCTCGCCTATCTATCCCTCCCACCTTAGAAATACAACACAGGTAAACATGCAGTGGGGGGGAGAAAGCCTAGCCCCCCTCTGCCTCCTCGCTCCATTCATAGACGTGGTCTTAAAAAGCGAGGAGTGGGAGGAAGGGCACTTGGTAGTTTCTCAAACTTTGACTTGCAAAGTAATCTCATTGCAGGCTGAAATATAGGGAAGATTGTGGAAAAGGGATAAGCATTTCCAACATATACTGTTTTTTAAAAAGTAAATAAAAAGTGGTGTAATTACTGTCTAAAATTGGATATTGTCACATACAGGAAAAAGCAAAGCAAAACAAAATTATGATAGAACATCCCATATTAGAACAAAATGCTGTCTAAATGTTCCCAGTATGCCAAACAAGTTGTTTTATAACCAAATGGAGTCAAAACACTGCAGTTTTTTTTAAACAAAGTGCCCTTCCTATCTTGATATTTATGCACAGTGAGACTTTTGTCCCAGATAAACCTGGATAATGGCATCACTCTTATGTTGTGTGAGTATACATGAGCTGCAAGGC